GAAAGAATGTGTAGACTGTAGGAACATCTCAGAATCTTTAGCACACTTTTCTCTTTAATCTGTGATATTCTAGATCTCTAGGCGTCTCGTTACTCAAACATTATAAGAAAAACAAAATGCAAAAAAAATCGTTACGGAATTTCACTCCGGTAGCAGAGATGGCTGGCCAGAGCGTGAGTCAACGTGGTTCATGTTTATGCTTCTGGAAAACCTAACCGCTGGAAACCAAGTCCTTGCTTTTTGGTCAGAAAATTTTGCTAACAAAATAACCTGATAGAGCGAAGTATTCTAAGCAAAATAAGATATCTCCCGGCATTCTATACGGCTTTTCACGCAACTGCAGTGAATCATAGGTTGTGTTTGTTCTAGGTGAAAGAAGTGGAATAATGAAAATACTTGGAGTACAGGTCATTTAACGAGGAAAAAGTTTTTTTTATTCAAAGGTTTCTAGTGTCGCTGAGAAGGATTTCTACGGTCTACAGATATGTTGAGGTTAATCGTGGACAATAACTGCATTAGATGAGAAATTATTAAATGTTTAGAACAGTATTTTGCATTTTTGTTTGAATATTGTGCAGATTTTGTGACTTTTGTAATCTGGGCTCCGTTCCACAAGTAATCAATTTTTTCAAATTTTGTTTTACTCCTAGAGACTCCTTGGTATTCTTCGTGACTTCGCTGAGCCCGAAGAATAAGAATTTTCCTGATTGTTTTTGAATTTTCTCACGTTTTCTCCGCTTAGCCCCATTGTCAGTCATTTTTACAGATTTTCGGGATTTCATCGGATTCTAATCCCTTTTTTCGATTTTTCTTGTACTCCCAGGGACTCGTCCAGTTTCTCGATTAGCAAAAATGAATTTGACACGAATTTTAAAGACCGATTTTTCAGAGGATCTGGAAAACCAGTTCAGTCTTCTGGAAGCTGACATAGAAATCTATGAGCTTTCTTACGTAGATATATAGTCGGAAGCGTTCTCTACAAAACTGGATTTGAGCTGGAGTTTCGGAGCTTTAATCTTAGCACTATCTTCTCATTTGTACTGGCGCTCTCTTAGCTGAAAGATATTATTGCTGAGATTGCATCATCAAAGGTTTTGATATGATGTTCAGAAACGATGATGTTGTTAGTTGTTGAGAAGACATCTTGTAGTAATGGCCAAATTTTGTGTTGCGAAGATGCTGACATACGGATTAAAACAAGCAAACAGTTAAAAAATAGAGTAAAAGCATAAAGCTCTTCTCTTCTCTTGCAGCCCATCAGCTGGGAACCAGACACAGATAGTTTCGGAGCTTTAATCTTAGTACAGAATATTTTTATCGCCGAAGACAGAAAAAACAACAACGCAGGCAGGCAGTTTCATATCAGGTAGGTTCGACTTCAGCTTTACTGGTTGATACTACTTTAGGCTATTGAACTATAGTATCAGAATTATAGACTCGTATGAATGTTTTTTCAATCTCGGGCTCTTCTTTCAAGGACTCCACCAGTATACCATACATGGAATTTCGACTTTTGAAAACGTCCTTGTGTAAAAAAGGTGCAGTCAGAGTCAAGTCTTCATCGTCTATAGTTCTCGAGTTATTTAAAAACAGTGATCAGCCTTCTATTTTGAAATAGATAGTAGACAATGCAAAAGTTAAAGTAAAAATAGTTTTTGTTGAGATTGCAAGATGTATTCTGATTTCTGTCGTCTAGATTAGGATAACTTTCTCTTTCAAACCAAAAATTGTCTAGTTTTACGGCTCAATTTATTTTGAACATTAATAATTTTTTTAATCTATCGATGGAATCGTATGTAAGAGGAAAATAATAGTCAAATTAGCGATCTACATAGAGTGAAAGTCATCAACATGAATGATTCTGATAAAAATAGTACCGTTTTTTGTGATCTCTTAAAAACCTGCTTTTGAAAATTTTTGAAATTTTTTCTGTTATAAAAAGATACAATCTAGTCTTCTCTTTCCAATGATGTAGACTCAAAATATCTATCTCTTTTTGTTCTTAACTTATCCAAAAAAACAACTGAGAGCACTGGGCTTTTTCGATAACGATGAAAGAGAAGAAACAGATTTTGTAGAAAAAATGGGATTTGCTTGGTAGTGAAAAGTGGTACAAACGTCGGATTTTCGCTGCTATCTATTCTATACATTTAGTCAACTTTTGGCATTTAAAGAATGCAAACTGAATAACTTACCAGAGCTATCCAAAACCATGTGGTTAAGAGACAGAAAAAAAGATTTTTTCAGGACCATGAATTCTGAACAAATTTTTGCAAAAATAGAAAAACCTGTAACAAGGATAACGATGTAACTGAGTGGAGCGAAAAAACTTATATAAGAAAGAGAAAAAAAAATATATTGTTCCACATCAAATAACAGAGAATAGCATTTACAAAACCAGACATATTTGCACCACCAGAAAGACAACATCAAAATAACGGTAAAATATGGATGTTTTGCTTATACTTCGTTCACGGTTAAACATAGAAAAGTCGGACTTGCAGCGATTTTAAGCCTAACGTTGAGAAGTCCTAAAGTAATTCACCAAGACTAAGAAAAGAGAGACCTTGGATCATTTACGTCATTCGAACAGTACTATTTTCATCAGAATCACTCACATTTTCTCTTTCTAAACCATTTCCTTACAGTGAAAGAGCGTCGAACAAGATAGAAACGCCCTGTTTTTTTATTAAACAAACGGTTATTCTCTTCCTCAATTTTATACTATCTTTCAAAACTAAAGAGCAACCATCGAACTAGCCATGCAGACAGAAACAAATTGTAAACTTATCCAAAAAAGTAAAACTTATTCTTTCATAATCACGAACACTATAATGATTAATTAATTGATTATTCATAATAATTATAATTATCTATATGGAAAATTAAAGGACACCTATTAATACACCTGAAAAAGGACACCTACAAACATTAGGAGATGAGCAAACCCGAAAAATCACGGCAATTTTCTTGTCAAAATCAGATAAGAATTTTATAAGAAATTGGTGACAAAGTGATAAGATGACTTGTTACCTTCTTATGAATGTCTTATGTGATTCTTATAAAAATCTTATCAGAACGATGTCAGATCTTACTACTTCCGTGTAACAAAGAATTTGTAAAATCTTGTCAGAAACTTAGAAAAATTCTTTCTCTGGGATAGATCGCTATAATGCATTCAATGTTAAAGTATTTTTGTCCTACTTTCACTGCATAAGAAAATTTTACTTACATACGCCGAAACATAGAATTTTTTGCTCGACAAAATCATGTAGACATGCGACATTTAAATGTGATTTTGTTATGTGTAAATGTAAAATATAGTGCAGAGCAGACCTGTGGATCGCTAATTTGACTATTATATTTCCTCTTATATACGATTCCATGAATAGCTTAACAAAAATTATCGATGTTCAAAAACAAATTAAGCTTAAAACTACACGATTCTTGGTTTGAAAAAGAAAGTCATCCTGATCTGCGTAACAAATAATTGTACTGATTGTACGACCAAGGTGCAGGACGGATTTTAATTGTACTTGATTATCGATAAAGTATACTAATGAATAATAACAACAACTTTCTACTACCATATGAACCTCCGCTTTATTATTCCGCCTTCCGCCTCAAGTGCCTTATCGTTCTTGCCTATTTTATGATAGATGAGACTAATATTATTATAATTTCTAGGTAAAGTAGGGTGAGTTGGTGATAATAATTTCTCTTTTTAATCAATCTCGAGTACGTTATCCACAAGATATTTCGGTGCTCTATAATAACGTTGCCGGTGTCCATTATCATAGAGGACAATTTCAATTAGCCAGAGAATATTATCAAAAGGAATTACAATAGGTTTAGAAATTCTATCGCCAACTCGTGAGTCGATCAACGAATACAAACATAATATGACGGTAGCAGTTAAGCGTCTTTGATCCACAGTTGTGCCCGCTTAGTCTTTCTGAGAAAAGCTGAAAACCTTATATACTACGCTATTTGAATTTTGTCGTAAACAAAGTTTGGATAACAAAACAATGTTAAAGTGGCTAGCAATCCAGACGAGAATGGTTAAAATATTCAGTGTGACGATTCTTTTAAAGTACAATAATGTTGTATAATTTTCTTTGAAAATGACTCTATGAATAGTCGAAACGTCAGATCTTCTTAATCAAATAAATTTCAATTTTATCTATCGCTGCCGTTAATTTAAAGAAGAGTATTCTAATCATATTATTGACCCTTAATCGATTCAATGTTTATTTTTTATCGTCATCGATATCAAGTTTATTTGCACTCTTGTCTGGTATTGTAACACGGATATCAGCCACATATCAACTGGATCCAACTAATGAGTCACCCGCACAGTGTAAAATAAGAAATTTTTTATTGTTTTCAACATTTACACTATCAACATGGTTTATTGCATTAGCATCAATCGATCGCTATTTTATTAGTTGTCAAGATGTTAAACGTCGTCAACTAAGTGGTTTAAAAAACACTTATTATCTCATTGGAATTTTAACACTCCTATCAATAATAATCTATAGCGAGATGTTTTATTGTTTTCAAGCTAATCTTTCAGCTCCACCATCACCATTACCGTGTTATTCTAAAAATTATCCATGTCGGTTATATAATGATTTAACATTTGCAATTATATTTGTACATTTGGGCGCAACGATTGTTGAAATTTAAAGGTGTCGAGGCGGGTGAGTGTGGATGTGAGTATCGATCAAGATTAAAGAAACAGTTATTTCAGTTGGATATGTGTAATATAGAAAAAGCTCTCACACCATATCAAGTTGTTTAAAGAAAATTTTATCGTTATGCATCATACTTTAACAAATACACTCTTACTGAATGCTTTTGTCGTATATGCGCTCAAGTGTCGTCGCGCCGAATTGTCGTTGCGCCCAAATGTTTGGTAATCTTGTGCGATCCAAGGGTCACTCTGCCTCTTGTGTGTTAGTGAGAGAGAGAATGGTGACCAAATTCGCTCAAACCTATGCAGATAAACTCAGTTTTTGATGTTGAATCCGAATAAAATCGTTTCAGAAATTTTCGATCGATGTAAACGGAAGAATCATTGAATTTTCTTGCCATTGGTCAAATTTTCAGTTTTTTCCAAGTAATTTGTATTTTAAAGATTTCTCAACCAAAATAAGAAGTCTCGAAGGAACATATTCTTGATCAGCTCTATTCAACCAAGTAGAATGCGATCGAACAATTTTCTACTTACTTTTAGCGTTTCCTACACAACACTTTTCCTGTGTAAGATCGGACGTTTCCGAATCTCTCGAGACTTCCAATCCACACTAACACATGACGTTAATTGTGAAGCCATAATGTCATGTGTGCTTCAATCTTGTGAAAAGCAGATAGGTATACAGGTGAAAAAATAAGAATTTTTTTATCGTAAGAAGCGGAAAAAGAAAGCGTATCTCAATGTATTAAAGTGCAATATAGCATTGACAAATGAATAAGAATGAAGCTCTTGCGACACAGGAGTATACAGTACTTCTAATTCTCTATGAAGAACGACGAGGACTATTGACCTAATGCGTGCTCAGCATTTTACATTTACTTTTCGGCCCTAGTATTATTCAGAAAAAAACAAATAATTCTTTGTAGTACTCAATGTAATGTGAGTAATGTAAACTTACCAATATCCGTTGCTGTAGAAAAGAGCTAACGAAGAAACGCTAGTTATGTAAATGACGCCGATTTCGTGAACATTTAAACTGTGGATCTAGTGTCCCACGTACAAATCCCAACGTTACTGAGTGAATTCTAGTTTCTGTCCTTTGAAAGACATAGATCATCTTTTTTTATTACCTCTACTTCTGATGACGGTTAAGAATTAATTTTTGATAAAACAATGCTTGAAAAACTTGCACTTTTCAAATAAAAAGTGCTAATTGTGAGTAGTATCCATGATCCAGCAAACGTGGGTTATTCTGACTAAGTGGGATGTAAGAAAAAGCTGATTTTTCATTAGTTGCGGTAGTGAGACATGTTCAGTGACCTCATGCAAGGCGGACAAAATGATGACCAGCGATTCAACTATACTGAGCTAAGAGTTATTTCTTTATTCTGTTTGATAATTGAACAATACGAATTTTATCATATTGATTATCTTTCTTAAATTACAACGAGCTTCAGGATATGAAAAATCACAGTAGATCAGTGTTCGCATATGGTCTGATTCCACACGAAGAATTTTATGCACTCAAAAGTTTTAAAATTCAAGATGATGATGATGTGTACGTGCATAAGGTTAGATTAACAGAATTACTCGAATTGATTTCTACAAACACCGGAAGACAAATAGAAGGGATCTGAGCTGTAATGTAATTAGTCGATAGTTTGGAAACAATTTAAGAGAAAATAACGTTAGAATGATGTGAAGAGATGCACGAGTGAAAATGTACACAAAACTCATACAGATAGTTGTAAATAAGAAGAACAAATCATTTAGTCTCTTCAGCAGCGTTTTGTTTTGTATTTAATACAGAAACATGTATCTGTGTTGTAGTTGTTCGATGCATTAAATATTTACGAAATAGACCTATAAGTGTTTGTCTAAATAGTGTATTAGTTAATAAATACAAATAAAATGGTATACTCATACTTATAAAAGCTAATAATAGAAGTAATTGAAATGCAACGTTTTCAATTGATAATTGTAATTGTGTTTTAACTAAATATATTGTGAATGTTGCATACAAACGCTGAATGGCTATTGGTAATCCAAGCATTGGTATTAACACAACGTGTACAAGTAACATTTGTATTAACTGTCGATCAGATCTTTTCAATGTTTAACCGTGAACGAAGTATAA